CCTAAAACTAGATTGAAATATACTTAAGATATTGTTACGGTTAAGAATCTTAGCCAATTGTGTGTGGACAATATGCTCAAGTACTTTTAAAACAAATGAATTTGCTATAGTTGCCACACTTGGCAGGCGAATTGGCTTGGATTTTACTTTTATAGTACTCTTACGACACCAGTGGAACGATGTTCTTACACCGCCACTATATGGTCATGACATCATGGAGTCAAGAAGTTGGAGGTGTTTGACCCCCGTGTCTCGGAAGGCATATACCGGGTGGTTGTGAAACGCTCCCGAAAACGAAGACAGGCGATATTACTAACTTAACTACTTACCTTTGACGATGGGTGAGAAATAAAATTGATCCTGAGAAAAAAAATCATCTTTTCACAACGTTTTATTAGCTTTATTCGCGCTCCATCACGTTAATACAGCTAAATGAAACAATAATTTCAATAAAAAAATCATGAAAATACTTAAACATAAAACCAGCAGTAGAACTACAATCAGCTCACTAGGGGTCAATGTCCGCCCGGACGCTGACTTGGTACGGCGTTGTACCACAATAACTAATAATTTACAACACCTGATATATCTACTTAACCTACTATTTTGCCACTATGCTTGTCTCGACCTAGCCACTTTATTCACAGGTTAAATAAACCAAATACATGATTTGATTCCCCGCTAGTAAAAAAATTACTTAAATGAAATGTTAACAAGGTTAGAGTCATGGTTTTTATCCATCGTGGAGGTATTTTTATTATTCTGATGTATTCACCTATTCAGATGAGTTCAGTACTAACTTATTAAAGAAAATAGGTATGAAACAGCTTACCGATCTAAATCCTAAGTGGCCTTATGAGATTCTCCAAGGCACATTGCCTTGGAGAATCTCATAACACGTTGCCGTATTCACGAGCACTATATGCGTACCTTCGCGAAAACAAGAAAAACAAAACGTAACAACAAGAATGTAATAAACAAAACGATTTAACCGCACGTGATAGTCAACACGGAACTGTCTTAAAAAGTGAAATTAATAATCAATCCCGCCAAAACAAATGCGTACTAGGCATTCGTCCTTGAAGCACTGAGCACTACCACAGGGCGTAAAACCCCAACGTTTATTTTATTTATAAGTTTAGTTATCCCTACGACTAGTCTTCATATGGAATTTAGAAGTTATGGTTGTCATTTTTAATTCATGTCATTTTACAATTACACAATCAATTGTACGCTGACGCAACAAGCAGTTCTTTAATACAAAAATTATATTGAAATTAATAAACGTACCTATTTGGTTACTCAGTACTCATACAATTATAACCACTATTTCATTGTTATCTTTGATTTTGTATAAGAAAATAGAAATGAAATGGTATTGAAAAATTAATAGTTAAAATCAATTGCAATTATGATCGACAGTTTACAGACAATCTATCAGAATTAATGTAAAAAATAATACTTTATTTTAATTGACTTTCCGTATTTAATCCAACCAATACTTTGAATTTAAAAAGAGGTACGTCAAAATTATTAAAAATTACTTGCAAGTTTTATAGTGATTGCCGCCTCTAATTCTTATGTCGCCGGCAAACAAAAAGCTTAGTAGTTAAATTTTGGTGCAACATGGCAGTGTTGCCAACACCAATTTGTGAAATTCCCCGAAAATTCATCTCAAACTCCCCAATTTAAGGACAAAACTTCAATAGATTCCCCACAAATTCCCTTCAATTTTATTTTAAGAAATGAATCAATTTTCAACTAATTTCATAAGATTTACCTTTTAACCAACAATTTTTTTTAAAATAATATAAAATAAAAAGTGAAAAGCATTAAATGATACATAAAAGTTGCCGATATAAATCCGAAAATTAAATGTGGCGCAAAGAAGATATTTAAAATAAAAAAAAACGGCAAAGTGCGAGTCGGACTCGCGCACCGAGGGTTCCGAATAAATCCGTAGGTATATAAGTTTAAAATTATTAATAATATTTTTATTGTATGTTGTAACTAAAAATTTATGCTTTTCGCGATTTTTCCTTTATCTGTGCTATAATACGTTACTTCGTACCAACTTTTAAGAGTCAGAGTTCAGGGGAAGTACCCTGTAGGTTTTGATTCCCTTGCGAATGTCGAAAATTTGCGGCATAAACGGCTGTATCTTTTGATTGCGTTGGCTTAGAAGTTTGATTTTTTCACAGCTCCAAGGGACAGTAGACTTAGAGTATTTGATATGAATTTCAGCTTGATACCTCCACGCGTTCCTGAGAAAAAGGGTCTTGACAGACAGACATCAACAGTGGTATAGCCACGTGGCTTTTGCTGTCGCACGGATGGGCCGGCTCGAACCGGGGTGGTACCACGACCTCACAGAATACCAGCGTGAAGTAGAGGTTTACCTCTGCGTTTCGCTTGGTGAATGAAGGTGGCCGGAGGCCCTTTTTACTGGAAATGAGGCATTCCATCTTAGTCCTCACGGGTGACAACGCATCTGCATTTTGATTTGTAATAGAGAATAGATGTAGATGTCTATGGGCCGCAGCAACCACTTACCATCAGGTGGACTGTGTGCTCGTTTGTCACCCTTATCCTATAAAAAAAAGACAGACGGACAATAAAGTAATCCTATAAGGGTTCTGTTTTTTCCTTTTGAGGTACGGAACCCTAAAAAAGGGAGTCATTCGATATTAATAAGGAACCTAACAAAAATGTTAAGATAAGTATATCGATTTTCAAAATCCCCGCATTTTCCCAGCATAATACCAATCCCCTTAAAATCCCCAACCAACTGTAAATTCCCCGCAATTTGGGGAATTTCCCATATTTTAGCAACGCTGACCCGAGGTGACACGAGTCGGCAGGGCTGCGGCAGCGTCTGTGTGAAAGGCAAGGATAGAGTGAATAGTATAATACCTACATAGGCTGCACTAAAAGTATCGGGAATGGAATATTTCCACTGTTCCTGTCATATTAAAATCTTATTAATTTAAAATTCCTTGGTTTTAAAAATCGAATACCAATTATTTATTTAAAAAAAGATTCTCGGTCTTGTCACAAGGTTTTGTCAAACTTGTTTAGTCGTTGAGAAAATGGAATTGACTCGAGAAAATTCAAGAGCGATGATTTATTATGACTTTCGAAGTGGTTTAACACAAAAACAGTGTGTTGACCGGATGATTTCTGCATTTGGTGATGAAGCCCCATCCAAAACCACAATTTATCGCTGGTTTGCTGAATTTCAACGTGGACGTGTCAAGCTCAGTTATGATCCCTGTCAAGGTCGTCCAAAAACTGCAGTCACCCAAGAAAACGTTGATGCTGTGCGTAAGCTGATTGAGGAAGATCGACATGTGACATACCGCGAAATTCAGGCAACTTTAGACGTTGGCATGAGTCAAATACAAATAATCTTGCACGAACAATTAGGTGTAAAAAAGTTGTTTTCCCGATGGATACCGCATTCGTTCTGTGAAGAGCAAAAAGCGGCTCGCGTTACTTGGTGTGTCAGAACTCTCGAAAGTGTCCACGCAGGATCCTCAAATGCTGTATACAACATCCTACCAGGTGACGAATCCTGGATATACGCGTACGAACCCGTAACAAAAAACCAGTCACGAGTTTGGGTGTTCGAAAATGAGTTAAAGCTAACAAAAATTGTTCGTTCACGGAGTGTTGCAAAAATAAAACGGTGGCCACGTTTGTCTCCAAAACCGGTCATGTTACGACTATTCCTCTTGAGGGACAGAGAACGGTTAATGCAGAATGGTATGCTAGCATTTGTTTGCCACAAGACGTTTCTGAACTCCGTAAAGAGAACTGCAACCGCCGCATCATCCTCCATCACGACAATGCGAGTTCTCACACCGCACACTCACACAAAGAGTTTTTAGAGCAAGAAAACAGAATTATTAGACCATCCGCCGTACAGCTCCGACCTAAGCCCTAATGATTTCTATACTTTCCCTAAAATAAAGAATAAATTGCGTGGACAGAGATTTTCATCATCTGAAGAAGCTGTGGATGCCTACAAAACGGCCATTTTGGAGACCCCAACTTCCGAATGGAATGGTTGCTTCAATGATTGGTTCCATCGTATGGAAAATGTGTCAAATTTCGCGGAGAATACTTCGAAAAGCAATAAATACATTTTTAAATAGTAATGTTGTGTCACTTCCTTGATTCCCGAAATTTTCAGTGCCGCCTCGTAATGCATTGTTTCGTACCGAGATAGATGAAAGAGTTTGGCTTACGCGTGGCTATTGACCCTAGTCAGCTGATTTTATGATATATTTTAAATTTTACTGCTGGTTTAATCTTTACGTATTTTCATGATTTTTTTAAATGAAATTATCATTTTATTTAGCCGTACCAATATGATGGGACGTGAATAAAGCTAATAAATCGTTGCGAAAAGATGATTTTTTTTCCTCAGGATCGATTTTATTTCTCACCCATCATCAAAGGTATAGTTAGTACTTTCGTCTGTCTTCGTTTTCGAGACCGTTTGACAAACATTTGGTATGTATACTGCATTGTTTAAAATTGCTTATCTTCGGAGAGGTCCTTAATCTTCTTCGCAGATGTTTTAAGTCGATTGTTCGTGGTTGCCTTCCGGAGTAGAGTTCACAATCGCGTTTCCGAAGTAAAACTTTTCGATAAGCCAGCGCACGCGTTTATACCCAATAGGAGAAGAGAAGAACATTCTAGTTGAATCCGACTCATTCAAATGTTTCCCTCTTACAATAAGAAAATGCCAGAACAGTCGCGATTAACAGTTTGTCTAGAGGAGTAAAGGTTTTATGCATAAAGACATAACGTTTAATCTTGGTTGTATTATCTTGTATTGGTTGAGTATTGTATATCGCCGATATATCGGTATCGATATCGGATGCATTCCTAATTTAACTCCATTATTTTGGGCTAAACGTGTTCCGAGTGGCTCGCTACTCAATGGACTCTGCCTACCCCTTGGGGATTGCAGACATGAAGTTATCTTCCAGGACGAATCCACGGAGTCACGTGTCGTGGGCGACGTGGGCTCTGCAGCCCAAGCCAATCAGCAGCGCATGCGCACCGACCCGTTCGAGGCCATGCTCTTCAACATCAGCTTCGCGGGTGGGGGGGAGCGCGACCTCCACTCCCCCGCCTGTCGGCCAACGTACGTACCCACTGTGAACACAACCAACAGGACCCGTTCGAGGCTATGCTCTTCAACATCAGCTTCGCGGGTGGGGGGGAGCGCGACCTCCACTCCCTCGTCTGTTGGCCAACGTACGTACCCACTGTGAACACAACTAGCAGGACCCGTTCGAGGCCATGCTCTTCAACATCTGCTTCGCGGGTGAGGGGGGGGGGGGGGAGCGCGACCTTCACTCCCCGGCCTGTCGGCCAACGTAAGTACTTACTGTGAACACAACCAGTAGGACCCGTTCGAGACCATGCTCTTCAACATCAGCTTCGCAGGTGGCGGGAGCGCGACCTCCACTCCCCGGCCTGTCGGCCAACGTACGTACTTACTGTGAACATAACCAGCAGGACCCGTTCGAGGCCATGCTCTTTAACATTAGCTTCGCGGTTGTGGGGGAGCGTGACCTCCACTCCCCGGCCTGTCGGCCAACGTAAGTACTTACTGCGAACACAACCAGCAGGACCCGTTCAAGGGAGAAAACAAATAAATACGTTTGCATATGGTCTTAACGTCGCCTCTAACTGCATCTTTGGTCGGGTAGTTAGTAGACGTAAACATGTTTGATGGTCTTGAGGTTCGAATCCTGGATCGTGCCAAAATCAATCATTGGGGTTTTCGGACAAGAAGTTCTCAGAAGCAGCCCGGATTCAGTAAGTTGGCGGTGCTACATCCCAGTACCTTGGAAGTAATGCCGTTGGTCCTGCGTCTGATCTCTCTCCGGTCGTATCGGATTACCGACCCACCTGACTATGTGTGAACTAAAGTGACTGTGAAGGAATAAACAGTGCACCTGTGCTTGCGCATACACTCGTGCACTATAATCCTGTTCTGCGCAGATGGCTAGTCTCCGTTGAGACTGGCCGTCGTGAACGAAATTCGGTGTGGAGCACATTAAGGCCGTATATCCCTCCCCTTAATCGTCACGTTTGGCAGGTGGATTGTCAATGGCAGTACCAGATGCAAGTACCTTTTATGCTGCTGCCCGTTGCCGGTCTGGGTATTTTCCGCCTGGCGTTAATAAGATGCGTTATACCCATAGGTCTTAAGTGAACATTGACAAAACAAAGATCATGTTTAATGTCCATGTCACACCTATGCCGGTAGTTAGTGGGAGCACTAAGCTCGAGGTTGTTGACGAGTGTGTTTACCTGGGACAAATAGTCCGATTAGGTAAGTTCAACTTCGACCGAGAGGTCAATCGACGGATTCAACTCGCTTGGGCAGCGTTCGGGAAATTACGGCACATCTTCTCGTCAGGTATACCTTAAAACTTGAAAACAAGACTGTACAACCAGTGCGTGTTACCAGTGATGACCTATGGAACTGAGACGTGGTCCTTCACTGCTGGCCATATAAGGAAGCTCAAGATCGCTCAGCAAACTATGGAGAGTGCTATGCTCGGAGTTTCTCTGCGTGATAAACTTAGAAATGAGGATATCCGCAGTAGAACCAGAGTGACCAACATAGCCCAACGGATTAGTGAAGTGAAGCTGAAGTGGCAATGGACCGGCCATATAGCTCGAAGAACCGACAACCGATGGGGAAAAAGGTTCTGGAGTGGCGGCCTCGTACCGGCGGACGAAGTGTAGGGTGTCCCCCCACTAGATGGAATGACGACCTGGTAAGATATGCAGGAATTCGATGGATGCAGGTGGCTCAGGACCGTGCTTTTTGGCATTCCTTGGGGAGGCCTATGTTCAGCAGTGGACTTGTGAAGGGCTGTAATGATGATGATGATGATACCAAACATTAAGCATTTCCCGTAGTTACCTCTTACGACACTCGCGTGACGAATCCTTTTCTCAGAATGTAATTCTTAAAAATCGCTCCGTTTTGCACTCGAGTTAGCAACATTTGAATTATGAAAATTTTATTTCTTTTTTCACAATAGGGTTACCGTAGTAGAACTGGAGTTACAGACAGCTCAATCGATGATGATGATGATGATGACAATTATTAGCATTGGATTTGATCAATCCAACAAAGAAGTATAGTGTTTAGGCCGTGTAGTAGCGGTGTAAGAATATCCAGTACCCTATCCAGTGCCCTATCATCCCGTGGTTGTCGTCAGAGGCCACAGAGGGAAAAAAGAAGGAGACGGGCAGCAGCATCTTTCTAATAACGACTATAAATAAAAAACTGCGGTTGCCAATCCGCTTGCCAAGCGTGGCAACTATAGCAAATATTCCCTCTGTGAGGCAATCTTTGGGGGAGGCACATGTTCAGCAGTGGACTTTGATAGGCTGTTACGGTAAAGGTAACAAAGAAGTGTAGAAAAAAACACAACGTACATTTCAGTTGACGCTGAAAACATACTCAACTTGAGTACCTTTTACACTGCTCCCCTTCATCGTTCTATGTATTTTTACGTCTGGCGTTGGAAGTCAGAAGCATTTCCCATAGTCGACTCTCACGACACTAGCGGTTTTAAAGGGGGCGATGCATTTTCTTTCGGCGCCTCTGAACGGCTTTTTACGTGGTAGAGCCCATGCTGCAGCTATAGTAATAGTATAGTTGTAGCACGAATGGGTCGGCTCGACCGGGGAAAGACAACGCTCTCACAGAATACCAGCGTAAAATAGCAGCTTAATGCTGCTGTGTTTTGTATGGTGAGTGTAGAGAACTGGAGAGCCATTTTACTGGAAAAGAGGCATTCTATCTAGTCCTCACGGCTAACAACGCGTCTGCATTTTAATTCGCAAACGTGGATAGATGTAGATGTCTATGGGTCACAGCAACCACTTACCATCAGGTAGACTCTGTACTCCTTTGTCACCCTTAATGTATATAAAAAAAACAATTTTCTTAAAAAAAATTACAACATTTGTCTGAATGTAAAAACGCGCCTTTAGTTTTTTACTCGAGCTGGCAACATTTTATACGATGAAATTTCATAAGGTACCCGTGCTAGAGCCAGTGTAACTGATATAGTCCAACCGATCATTATAATGATGGTGGATGTAAATGATTAGCATAAGAATTTATCAGACTATGTGACATGACAGAGATACATAGAAAAAACATTACGTACGGTTCATGACTGTTCTGCCACCAAGGCGGTGCCACTTAGAAATGAGGTGAAATATTTGACAGATATCAGAGCGGGGGAAGATAATTTGTTAGAAAAGTGTAAAGATTAATGTTTCTTTCTTAAATATTAGATATATTTTATATACCGTTTTTATTTCAGGTAAAATTTGGAAAACGGATGAGAGATGGAGTACGTTATGAGAACGGTCAATCAACCAACGCTCTCCGATATAAACACCAAGTCATTTGTAAATAAAAAAATATATTATTATATATATAACATTATAAAAGAACGTTTACGTTTCTCTATTAGTTTTGTTGTTACTTTATATTTAAAATGTTGGATGTATGATATTTTTATACACGATATATACTCTGTGGTGCCAATATTATTTTCACTCGGGGTTTTGGCGGGAACTTGTACCGGCTCATAGTTTCTACTTTAATATCGTTTAAATAATACTTTTAAGTGGATTTCATATGTAAAATTGGTTTGGTTTTGTGTATTAAATGTCCGCGCATGTTGATTATTTGAACTATAAGTGGAAACGTTAAAGCAAGTGCTACGATGATGATATAAACTCGCATGTTATTTTGTCTCCTTTGGCGGCTTTGAGGTTTTATCATCGTCGAATCTACGTTTTAGAGCCACACTGCAGCTTTAATATGGTTTTAACACGAATGCGTCGACTCGACTGGGGCAAAGTAGCAGCTTAATGCTACTGCGTATGGTTAGTGTTGAGAACTGAGTGTAGAGTCTCGTTTCCAGTAGACAGGAAAAACCCTTAGAAACGAGGCATCCCATCTTAGTCCTCAGGGATGACAAAGTATTTGCATTTGTGTTTTTTTAATAGAGGTTAAATAAAGATGTCTAGGAGCCACAGCATCCATCTATTATCAGGTGGACTGCGTGCTCGTTTCGGTGACCCTTATTCTATAAAAATAAATACTGGTTTAAGTTGTCGTCAAAATCTCCCAAAAACCTCACAGTGTGACGCATCAACATAGTGTGAGTGTTAACGTATTTAAATGTTGTGTATAATTTGATAGCGTTTGATGTATTCTTTTTGGCTAAAAGCCTTATAGCCAATGTCACAATTAGAAAAAAAAAGATCTAATTTGTTATTATAAAAGTAAAAAGTAGCGCACGGTTAAACTTTTAGTGCATTTTTAACAGTATCGATATATATCGGGTGATAAATATAGATATATCGTCAACATTTGCATGATGTAAAGATAAGGTCAAAAAATTTTATTTACTGACGGTTGGACGACGAAAAAAACGATACATTTTAAAATTTATCGAAATTGATACGAATTCGATACTCTAAAATAAATATCGACATATCGAAATATCGCGATATATATCGATATTTTTATTAAAATATATCGATATTTCGATATATCGACATTTTTTGCCCAAGCCTACGGTTAGTTTAAAGACTGAAAAGAGCCTATAACCATTTGTTTCCATTAATGATTACCGATTTCATTGAATTCTGGTGAAGATATATTGTAAATATTCAGTAAATATTCACGTAGCGTTAATAAAGTAGGTATGTCCAATTAGAATATCAGTATACAGAAGTATGTTATAATTATATATAAAGGTTTTGCGAAAAAACAATGTATTTGTAATTCTCTTTTTAGATTACAAACTGATTATTTCAATCAGCTTTCGAATTACATGTTGTGTTGCTACATTTTGGTGTAATATTTTAAATAATGATTTATATTTACCCGAATGCTACACTACTACAAGGAATAAAACCAATTTTAACTTTTTTACCGACCTTTTGCGGCATTATACAGCACCCACGATCACGGGGGGACCTCCTCTCAATCCGTGACTGGGTTAAACGCAATAATATCCATAAAATTAATTATATTCCATAATTTTAAGTACCGTAAAATGGGGTGAATAGAAATCGCGGAGTGAATAGACACAAGTCTAGTTATTTGATAAAGTTGTCTCTAGCTTTGTCTACAGCTCGGGAACGTCTGTCTATTACTACTGTTTATTATTTGCCAACATTTTCCCTTTATTTTGGTAACCTTTAAGTTAGTGTCAATTTTGATGACAGTAAAGAAAAGGGCGGTTATTATAAACGTGTGAGTACAAGTGGTTTTATGCTGTGTAAAACATTTAGATAAACATCAAGTTCTTCAGTGTTTTCTCATCTATTATTAATACAAATTTGAATATCGAAGAGTAAAATCAGGATGCTGGTATTTTTTCTCGAATTCGAGGTGAATAGATACGACTGAGGGGTTTAGTGCTTACATAATTTTATAAATAAGTAAGTGATTTTTAATCTCGTCTTGTTACCTACAACTTAAAATAACCAAAGGTTATTAATCAAAACACGTAGTATTATAATTAGTGTTATATAGTTTAACAAACTATGAAACATTTATTTTTATTTTCATTACTTAAAAAAATATGTTCAAAACTATGTAAGCAGTGGCTTATTTATCTAATGCTTTATGTAGGAAATGCTTACGCTGCAAAGCAGTTAAATTACATTACTCTGATATTTTAAATTTATATAATATGGAGTTATATAAATATCAGATTTATTAACTAATTTCTTTTTATTTATGTTTTCTTTCATTTGACTCGCAAAAAGCAAATTTGACAACCTTAGCATTTTTTTCCTCTATTCACCCCTATGTCGTATCTATTAACTCCGGGTTCCCGGTGTATAGAAACACACTACTTTTTTCTAAAATACAACGAATTTGCATGTTTTTACCCGTTTGAAGCATTAGTATTCGATAAACTACAACAAGACTCACGACATTAGTGTTTTATTATCAGCTGATATACAATATATTATGTAAGAAAAACAGTGTAGAAGTTAAAAGTTGTGTCTATTCACCCCATTTTACGGTAGTTATTTCCGATAATTGTAATTATTTTCAACCACATCAAGTTCGATCTCCATCAGTATCAATGATATTGTTGATTGCCATTTTATTACCACGTTTTAATATCTCGCTTTCGTGTATGTCTGTTCGGGTCCAATTTAGTTGTTGATTTTAAATTAACTTCCCGATGAGCTAGATACTTGATACTTTGATCATAGCGCAGAATCGGATGACAATGTAAGAATATGAAAAAAATAACGAGGAGTTAAGAAAATTAACATGTAAATAATTTTTAAAAAATTTACTTTTAAACGCTAAACCTATTACTAGCTAAGTTATGAAATCGGAGGTGGACATCCTTTAACTTGCTAAGGAATAAAAAAGTAGGATTGTCTGCTAGAGAATGCAATAAGGGATTAAGTCCCCTAGTTGAAGTTGTTTGCAATAAAAGATAAATATTATATAAAATGAAATAAAAAATGTTAAAAAAAAACTTCAAAACCTTTGAGAGAGATCCCCTCTAAAGGCCACTAACATATATATATATATATATATATATATATATATATATATATATATATATATATATATATATATATATCCAGGACGTTTTATAGGGTGTTAATTTTTTTTGGATTTTTTATTCTTCTTTAACCAATCCGACCAAAATGTGAAAATGCTTGTGTTAGGAATGGTTAGAAAAGTGGTCGTATTCAAACGCACGACTTTGTGTTTTGCAGCAGATTTGTGACTAAAAAACAAAGACTTCAAATTTCTAAATACCGAGAAATAAATAATGCGTAGGATAGAAACAGAATATTTTAAATTCAATATAGATTATAAATAATACTTATTGAAAGTCACTTTTTTTAATTTACCACTGATGCGGAATAAACCTCTGTCCTCGGAAGAACCAGAATGACAGCTTATTACAAACAAATTAGAAATAGCTTGGTAGCGATCATCTTTCCCTGAGTTATTATCATCCATAAATTCCTTAATATTATAATAACCCTTTATAAACAAACTTAGTTTAATAAAGTTCTTGAACTTTGTGCAGGTCATATTTTGTAAATTTTCTGGGATTTTGTTGTAAAAGGGTATATACGTCGCCCCAAGAATGAATTAATGACTCGAAGATATGTTATAGTATCACAACTATACGCACTATCACTGAGACAGTCATTCGCTCTAACCTTCCCGATGCAGAGTAATGAGCTCGGAGGTAGCCCGCGATGGAGAATCAGAGATACTCAAGTAATCACAACGCATATCCGAAAAGCGGTTTTGGGTAAATAACCTCGACTTGGATTCGAACCTGGAGTATTAGTAGTTTAACCAGTAGTTTATTTTACCCGGCTTAATATAACAGGCCGTACCGTGTACTGGTTATGCAAGAGAATCCAATACCACGTAAGAGGCGATAGAAGAAAATATAACACCACATGAGGGCAGCAGCATCTTCCTGATAACTAAGAATAATAATGCGTGCAAAATATGGCAAATTCCGCAGTAGACTTTTGCTATGGTGTAATGAATTCATGATAAAGATAGATGGGTAAAGAGAAGCATTCAAGCTGCAAAGAACTGCACTGTAATATTTTCATATATCATGGTCACATTTGCAGCTGCATTATGGCTGCAAAGCGAATGGTTAGGCTTAACCAGGAATGGTCCTTTCCTCTCCACAGAATACCAGCGTAAAATAGCAGCTTAGTGCAGCTGTGTTTCGTATGCTGAGTGACAAGAATGGGAGACCCATTTTTACTGGTAACGAAGCATTCCATCTTAGTTTACGGAGCTGATGACGTATTTTGATTCTTAAACGATTTGCTGTCGGAAAGGCGAATGCTATTGACTTTTAATAGACCTTTGTAGTAAAATTGTTCTACTCTTTGGAAATACCTTTGTACAGTGTTAGAGAGTTTATTGGATATTAATGTTTTTCTAATAATTAATCTTACAATGCAATAATAAAACTGCCTGGAGTATGTAACAGTTTAGTTCTAGATTGTGCTAGCCATAGTTTATTATATATTTATATTTGTGCTAGCTATCGTCATTTGAATATTTTTAATACGTTTGTTAATTAAATTAAATATGTTTAGTAAAATCTGGTTTTATTTATCGATCCCGTTATTTGACGAATATTTAATACGTCTATATTTTTGAGTTTCATCTGATGGCAGGAATATGGTCATCATCATCATCATAACATCCCTTCACAAGACCACTACCGAACATAGGCCTTCCCAAGGAATACCACAAGGCACGGTCCTGAGCCACCTGCATC